CTTTCTTTCTTTCTTTCTTTCTTTCTTTCTTTCTTTCTTTCTTTCTTTTCTTTCTTTCTTTCTTTTCTTTCTTTCTTTCCTTCTTTCTTTCTTTCTTTCTTTCTTTCTTTCTTTCTTTTCTTTCTTTCTTTCTTTCTTTCTTTCTTTCTTTCTTTCTTTCTTTCTTTCTTTCTTTCTCTTTCTTTCTCTCTCTCTCTCTCTCTCTCTCTCTTTCTTTCTTTCTTACTTTTTTCCTCTTTTTCTTTTTTGACAGAGTCTTGCTGTGTTGTCCAGGCTAGAGGGCAGTGATCTAATCAGAGCTCACTGCTGCCTCAACCTCCTGGGCTCAGGCGATCCTCCCACCTCAGCCTCCCAAGTAGCTTGGACTACCAGCTAGGACTCCCAAGTAGCTGGGACTACCACACTTAGCTATTTATTTATTTATTTATTTTGTAGAGACAGGGGGTCTCACTACGTTGCCCAGTCTGGTCTCGGACTCCTGGGCCCAAGCCATCCTCCTGCCTTGGCCTCCTGAAGTGCTAGGATTACAGTTGTGAGCGACTGTGCCTGGCCAGGATTTTCTTACTAACATTTTCTTTTCTCTAGCTCACTTTATGATAAGTCTACAGTATATAATACGTATAAGATACTAAATATGTCTTAATTGAATGTTTATGTTATTGGTATGGCTTCCTGGTCAACATAAGGCTATCAGTAGTTAAGTTTTGGAAGAGTCAAAGGTTATGCCCAGATTTTCAACTGCGCGGGAGTCAGTGCCCTAACTCTTGTGTTATTCAAGGGTCAACTGTACAATCATTTCCCTGCTTCCTGGCTGAGATGATTGAGACTGAGGGAGGTTATGAATTCTGCCCAAGGCCACTTGGTTGGCAGGGGTGCCACTGGAGACCTGCCTGCCCCCAAAGGTATCGTCCTAATTATTCCTTGAATACTTCTTCAACTCTGGTTTTCAGACCACTGACATCAGAATTACCTAGAATCAGAGCCCCACCCCGGACTTACTAGATTAGAATTCCTGGGGATAGGACCCAGGAATCCATATCTTAGATGAGATCTCTTGTGGCGATTCTTCTGTATGGAGAAATTTGCGAATTTCCTTGTTTGCTGCCTTGCCTTTCTGACTCAGTGAAACATGGCCCTTGGGTCCCAGCCAAGAAAGACCACTATTCCTCCGCGTGGGCAGTGGTGAGTCTTCCTCGGCCTGCCCCTGTCTCGATGCATCATAAAATGCCACTTCACTTCCGTAACCAGAGAAGCACAAATAAGCAAATTCATGAATCATGGTTTTGTTTATATTTTGGTTGCTGTGGCTAAATATTTATTGCTTTAAGTAAGAGGCTCTGCTTTAATTAGAGTCATAAGTAACCACGAGTGCATAGAAATGCATTCTCATGGCCATAAGACATGCATTTCTCGACAGAAAGCCGAAGGCAACTAACACTTTTAACGTGCCAGTGCCCGATCAAAGTATGGAAGCTTATCTAAATGAATGAATAGTGTTTGAAATTGAAAAGTGATTAGAAGTTTCATTTATGGATTATCTATTGTTCTTACTTACTATGACTTACAAGGTCATATGTATGACGCTGTGGCATAGAGGTATAAAGGCGTGGGCAACAGAAAGCCTGCGGTGACGATGACCATTAGCTGCATTTAAATTTGAAATGTGCTGTGTTCTCTTCCCTATCTTGCCTGTTGCCCTCCTTCCCTGGGAATGGGTGCTCTCCACACTAAACCCCAGGAGAGTTTTAGAAGATTTTATGTCAGAGCCTCACTGCAGGCCGATTAAATCACGGTCTCTGGGAAAGAGACTTTGGCATGGGTATTTTTTAAAAGCTCCCCAGTGATTCTAATACATATTCAAAATGGGAACCCCTGCCCTAGGTTTAGTGAGCGAGGGTGCTGGCTGTGTAGTCAGACCGGCATTCAGATCTTGACTCTATCATTTTCTTTCTTTCTTTTTTTTTTTTAGACAGAGTCTCACTCTGCCACCCAGGCTGGAGTGAAGTGGCTCAATTTTGGCTCGCTGCAACCTCTGCCTCCCGGGTTCAAGTGATTCTCCTGCCTCAGCCTCCTGAGTAGCTAGTATTACAGGCATGTGCCACCACGGCTGGCTAATTTTTGTATTTTTACTAGAGATGGGGTTTCACCATATTGGTCAGGCTGGTCTCACACTCCTGACCTCGTGATCCGCCCGCCTCAGCCTCCCAAAGTGCTGGGATTACAGGCGTGAGCCACCGCGCCCAGCCGGCTCTATCATTTTCTAGCTATGTGACTTGGGGGCAAATTACTTCGCCTCTCTGAGCTTTGGTTTCCCCATCTGAAAAATGGGGACAATAGTAGCTAACTTGAGAGGGTGTCATAAGGATTCAATGAGATAATGCCAGGAAGCATGTATCTTTATGCTGAGGAGCACTTAACTTGGTACTTAGTAAGGGCTCAATAAATAGGAGATGCTATTGTTGTTATTAATATTATGTTTAATTTAGAATAACTACCCATTAGTGGGAGCAGGTATTACTGAAGAATATTGGGGGATTAGGAGTAGCTACTTTAGAATTCAGCCTTTACTGGTGCAGATAAAACACAACACGCCTGTTTAATACAAGCATATGCATCTCATAATTAGACTATACAACCCTAGGGGCTGATAGAATGCTGGTCAGATCTTTGTAAGTTTTGTCCACTCCTAGAAGTACCAGTGAGAAATTGGAATTTATAGCAAGACGGTATCTGCGTTGTGGGTGATACATAAATATTTAAGAATTGCTTGTTCACACTCTAGACCCTTTTAAGATGAATCCCTTTAGAATACAAGATCTGTGGGCCTGTGATCATTTGCACGGCTGGCATATATAATTGTGTCTTCCTGTTAGAGCCAGAACCCAGGGTGTAGCCTGCACTAGCCGACTAGTCTCTACAACAGAAAGAGGGGATTGCTCCTTAAGTGACCACACTAAGGGACTTCTCTCAGCCAATCTTTTTCTTTCTCCTAATTCCTGAATCTTTTGCAAGGAGATTGTCTGCTTTGTTGACTATACCTGTTTTATAACTAGCTGGATTCCTCCAAACCCCTCCAGCTTTCAATCCTTTGCTGAAATAAGACAAGCACATTGAAATGTTTTTCTCTGAAGAGCGTATTAGGAAAGTCAGTCAGCTACAAGAGAACAAAACAAAAGGTTGTGGCAAACGAGAAGAATCCCTAGTGGTGAAGACCGAGTAGCAAATTTATTAATTAAAGATCAGTTTACCCTTCTGGAAACATCCTGGAGGCAGAGACCAAATCCTGTGTTCAACCCTGGTGCCACTGCCCACCCCAGTGCCTTCTGGTGGACCAGTAAAGCTAATGGCTTGTTTCCTGGAACTACAGCCTTGATCTTTCCTTAGCATCTGGCCTCAAAGGTTAAGCAAGACTATTTGAATATTGTACACCATGGACATGCGGATAAACAGGCTTCCCGGTTTCACCCACCCATACCCCAAGCGTCCACAAAGATGCCCCCATGGGGGTGGAAGTATCCACAAAGCCGCAGCACATGCCTTTGAGCGGATGCTTCTTCCCTGCTCTTTGGCCCTAAGCTGAAGCGTAAGTCATACATTCCGAAGCCACGTGGAAATGTGTCTTATGCTTGCTGGAGTTCTGGATTCTTTGTTCCAAGTGCGTGAATAAATTGGAGGGAGCTATATGTATTTATGGGAGATGTGGCTCTCGATAGGAAGGATGTATTTGAGAAATGCTGGGCTAGATCAAAGAGCGTCTCACTCAGCCTGCAGAGACCCCAATTGGATTTTTGAACCCCACACCCTTAAACATAAACAGTCCATAGGACGTAAGTTATTTTGTGTTTTGTTTCTTACTTCAAAACTTGAGGGACTCCAAAGCTGGTTATGAAAAAGCCCTAAGAATGCTGAGCATTTCCCGTGTGGTGTGCTGGGCCAGGGACATCAAAGGTTCCATCTGCAGCAGTGCTAGCACAGGGCGACAGAAGCCTTCATCTTGTTCCTCCCCACGTTCCTCCCCACATAATTGCTTTTATTATTCACACCAACCAAACAAAGGGAAATTGCACGACCACAGTGTGTGTGAGCCACACACAGCACTTGCGTTGGAAAGGCCATGCACACGCTAACTTTGTGGGATCCTTGGCCCTTGGCTCAACCAGGATGAGGGTGGGGTGTGTGTGGGGGTGGTGGGATGGCCGTGGTTCATGCAACCCAACATGTATTCAGGATGTTTCCATCAAACATGACCTCATCTCTTCCAGCCCGCTAGCCATCATTATACTGGTGGTCGCTTTTGACTTAATGGTTACAAAAATAATTCCTTTAATAACCAAAGTGGAAATTCATAGATTGCACGTAGTTGGTTCTTACCTCCCCCAGGAGGCAAGAGGTTGGAGCTATTACTGACACTGTCTCCATAACATCAGTACAACTCATTAATTCAAGGAAAAACAATGCAAAGCAAAACAAAATAAAGCCATAAAATCTATGCCAGATCGGTTCTTGGACGTTGAGCAGATCAAATAGCTTCAGAAGTTTCCTTCTTTTTCTCTTCTTTAATAGTTGTATTTCTTCATCCTAAACAGACAGTCACATTATGATCACTAGGAAGAGAAATTCACTCAGTCAACAAAGATTTGTTAAGCCCTACTATGTCTTAGGTGCATGAGACTGATGAAGTCTCATGATGTTGAGACATACAACATGCAAATCAACAAATGAAAAGAATAATTTACGGTGGGGAAGGTCTCATGACGAAAATAAAATGAGGTGATTCAGTAGAGTGAGGCAACGTTTTACATCTGAAGTTCAGTAAAATAAAAAGCATATATTGAAAGACACTAGCTAGTTGAGGGAAATAGCTAGTTACCAAAAATGTCATTCCTTTGTTGGGGTTATTGGAAACTCAGACAGGGGTTCTCCCAGAGACTAACTCTTAGCTGAAAAGAAATCTGGAGTTATCACCATGGATGAACCAGCTGCTTCCCCTCCTCTCACAGGGGGAAGTCCAGCCAAGCAGACGACCTGGGAAGGAGGGCACCGGGTCCCGGCACTGGCTTACTGGCCTGGCAGAGTTCCAGTTAATGTCACCAGCACTGCCTTGTTAAGGTATGAGACCCAAACTACCTTGAGATGTCAGGGCCCAGAGCAAGAAAAGTCATGGAGGCATGGGTGGCTAGATGGAGGCATGGGTGGCTAGATGGAGGCATGGGTGGCTAGAGGCCTCAGGAAGGTCATTCACCGCTTGCCTTTTCCAGGTGTTCCCAGACACTTCCAAGACTGATTGCAGAAACGATGAAAGTAATAGTGAAGTGGGGCCACGCCTGGGGGCTCACTTCTGTAATCCTAGCACTTTGGGAGGCTAAGGCAGGAGGATTGCCCAGGCCAGGAGTTTGAGACTACCCTGGTCAACATAGCAAGACCCTGTCTCTAAAAAGAAGGGAAAAGAAGAGAAGAGAAGGGAGAGGAGAAGAGGGGAGAGGAGGGGAGGGGAGGGGAGAGGAGGGAGAAACAGTGAAGTGGGACTTGAGCCATCTTCTGGGAATAATGCCTGAGTGAAGAAGGGATTGGTTGGTTTCACGTACATCAGCATTGGGTCCTGGCTGTGTCTGCTGGAGAGAAAGCTGCAGAAAAGGCGGCAACAGCAGCATCTCCCCTCTCAGCCTGGGCCAAGCTGACCGAGGCAACAGATCTTTTGAACCCTGATTATTCCATCCTTGGGGTTAAGGCAGATGTCTTAGGGGTGGCTGTGAGAAGCCAGCTAGTCTCTAGCGATCCGATGGCCCCAAGAAAGGAGTCCAGATGTCCACTTTCCCTGAAGGAGGGTGGAGAAGAAAGGTGGCCCCTCCGGGCCATTAGGGAAAGAATGCATCCTTAGGTGAAGACATTCCTCCTGCCTCTGGCCATGAAGCTTCTCAATGAGCTAAGTGTCTGGGTGCTTCCTTTATTAGAAGGAAACTCACTGCGTAGCTCACTGCAGACCCATCACATCAGGTAAATGTGGTGTCTCACCATGACTGTTATCCCCGCATTAAGGCAGATCCAGGAGGCCATCTCCATGGCAAAGAGCTTGGCTGTGCAGCGTCTATGTGAAAGCAACGTCTTCCCAGCTATGGAACTATGACTTATCCTGGGGACATTTCACTAATTCAGAGAGGACTTTCCTCTCTGTGGTTCTGCCCTGTGTTCACTAACAAGGGAGACCCTCCGTAGAACCCTGTGCTCATTCATGTGCTCAGAAAACTGCTGGTTAAAGACCAATTTCCTAATTCCAGAGGTTCTTTGCAATGAGCCCAGTGAGTCCTGGCGTAAAGAACACAGCTGAGCAGAGGCAGGCAAGCTTTCTTGGCACCCTCTGACTTCCCGAGATCCAATGGGGAGGAGGGGAGAGACTCAAAGTCCAGGGGAAAAGGGTAAACAGCTCTGAGGGCCAAAGTATGGGGTGGGTGGGCGTCAGCCCTGGCAGCCTGTGGGGCCCCCAGGAATTCCGGGTCAGCCCTGTGCAGTCAGGAGGGGGCAGCGTGCTGTCAGCGGGCACCAGCAGGTGTGACAACAATAGCAGAGCCTGGAATCTGTGATGTCAGGCTGCCTGGGAAAAGAGCCAGGCCGGCTGCTTTTTATAGGGCTGACTTGGTGTAGTCAACGCGCTTATCAAGAGGGGCCAAGTGTTTCACGGGCTGGGCTGCACGTGGACAAGTAACTCAGCCGTCCCTCAAGTTGCATCACAGAAAGTCAAGCAGTGTCTTCTCACTGGAGAATGGTGTTTGCACCTACAGTCAACCGTGATAAAACTGTCTCATCTCGTTGATAATGTGGGGCCTTAGAGGAGACAACGGACTGAGGGGATGGTTTGATGACCCAAGGCAGCGAGTTCTTGGTACAAGGCAGTGTCTGCCTGAGGGCCCCTGGAATTGTACCAGGACAATATCAATACACCGTATCAGCACCTCCTAGGAGATACATTAGGTTGGTGCAAAAGTCATTGTGGTTTTTGCCATTACTTTTAGTAGCAAAAACTGCAATGACTTTCGCACCAACCTAATATATAGTGTATCACACACACACA